GTGCTTGCTGGACCTCTCAGGGGGAGAGGCGACTGGCCCGCAGGGCCACGGAAGCAGAAGTGGCCTTCTCCACGGCGAGGTCTGCAGCCCCGCCAGCCCCGCTGCCCCGTGCAGACACGCCTCCCCGTGGCCCCCGAGGGCAGCGCGCTTCAGTGGCCGCCCAGGTGCAGGGCTGTGTGACCCTCGTTCCTGACCCTCCTAGAGCTCGTCCTTGGGCTTTTCCCGGGAGCACTGGTTCAAGTCTTGAGCAGACGAGGATGTCCTTCTGCCCCCGTGGGCGGGAGACAGAGGAAGGTATCCTCGTGTTTGCCGCAGACGCCCCTCCTGCTGCCCGCTCCCTGTGACTCGGTCCCGGGAGGGGACGCAGACACTGTTTCCACGCCGGGTCTGTCATCGTGGCGTGCCACCACCACTGGGTCCACCCCCGGAGCAGGAGCCCCGGGGCCTCCACGCGAGCACTGGTCAGAAGCTCGAGACCCTTGGTTACCGAGAAAGCAGGACAACCCTTAACATCTGAGCGTGTATTTTCCCCACGAGCCTGCCTGAAATTTGCGATGTTGTGATGTATTAATGCAAAGCCAGGTAGAGAGATGGAAAAAAAAAGGAAGACAGAAAATAATCAAAGAAAAGTAAAATGAAAAATAAAAAAGAACCTCTCCCTTTAAACCTCCAAGTCAATACCTCTGGTCAATCCACAAAGTGATGTTCCTGCCACCAAACCCAGTGCTTGCAGCGGAACCCAAGTGCCCAGGGAGGCACAGGGCCACCATCCCAGTCCGGTGGGCGGAGGAGGGCAGTTTTTATGGCAGGATGGATAGACAGGAAACCTAAACCTTCTAGAAGCAGGGCATGGGGACTTCTGTGTTGTACCTTCTGTATTTGGACGCACGTCCCATAGAGATGCTAACGGCTGGGTGTCCGGGCTGAATCAACTGTCTTTAGTCCTCTGCAGGGCAGAACTGACCATCGCCCTGACTGTAACGCTCTCCCTCTGATACACAGAGTTGACTCGCTCCCTATTCTTTACTAAGTGGATCTGACGGTTGCCGCGAGGTTCACAGGCATTAATCAGCCAACCTTACCCAGCCCACTGATGCCATCGAATGTGACTCCATGCCCAGGAGATGAAAGACACAGGAGAGGAACTGCCACAGAGCTGCTGACTCTGCAGGGAGGCCCGGCTTGCTGGACCGTGGGGGAGGGGAGGAAGGAGGGAGGTGGGGGAGGGAGGTGGGGGGGGATGGAGGGACAGGGGCACATCCCTGAGCCCTTATTCATCACAGCGGGACTCTGCTCCACCAAATATGACTATGGCAGACGGACATGCAATCTGTTGTGTTTGCACAGGGGAGCAGAGACATCCTTCAGGGGCGGCAGGAGACGCTGAGGAGGAGGGAAATGCTCGTGTCTGAATCCCTCTCATCCGTCTGGATACTGGGCAGCAAGAGTCTGGAGTACCTCTTCCAGCCGAGAGCTCCCTGTCAGCGGGGATCGGAGGTGCGGGGAGCACACGTGGGGGCCCCGGAGAGAAGAGGTCGCTCTCTGCTCTACAGGGGGCAGCAAAGGAGGAGGGGAAAACAGCACACACACACACACACAGGGATGAATGAGAGAAATGCCCCAGCGCACGGTCTGTTTTCTCTGAAATCTCCCTTAGCTGTGCAGGAGTGCAACAGCTACCCCGGAGGCCGCCCGAAGCCAAGTCTTGGATGTTCTAGGAGCCTCCCCCTCCTACCTCCGGCCCTGACCCACCTCCCTGCGCCCAGCAAGAAGGGCATCTCAGACTCCACGTGGAGGGCTGGCCTGGAGACCCGTCCCCGCTTCACAGTGGACAGCAGAGGCAGTGAGGACACGCAGCTCTGGGTCGGCAGGTGGGTTCTCCCACCCCCGGTCCTGCGCTCCCAACCAGGTCGGGACTCGTCTGTTTCTGTCAGTTTTGTCACCGTTGGCCTTGGTGTGGGACCTGCTCCTGCATCCGCTGAGTGCACCGTGGGAGGAATTCTAACTCCTTAGCGACCACTCCCTGTCTTAAAAGCCCCTGTTCCCGCTGAGAGTGAGTCACTTCCGCAAGTCCTTCCTGAAGCACCCTCTGCCTCACCCGGTCCCTTCCACGCCCCTTTACCACGGATGTCGCTAGCTGCTGTCCTAACGCTCTTTCAGATCTGGGGATGTGCCGCCGCGCACAGGGCTCAGGCAACGTGAGCGGAAGCACAAGTTGAATCTGAGCGCTTCCGTCGGCTCCCCTTTCTTGTCTGTTTCCTTTTCCTGCCCGCGGCTCGTCACCGTGGCACTGCACGTCACCAAAGTGAATACTGCATCCCTGAATCTTTTCATGATGAAAGTCCTTTTCCTCATCTAGCAAACGGCGTCCCATACAACGCAAGTCCTGCTACCTCCTCCCACAACTTCCACGTCAAACGCTGTCTTCCGATGACTGTTTGCGCAGGCGGGTGTGAACGGATGGACAGGGTGGGTGTGCGGCAGGCGGGATGAGGATGACCGGGGCGGGCAGGTGGAAGGTGGGAAAGACATTCCCCAACTGTCTTCACAGCTGCCTTCCTACGGGGCTATCCCAGGGTCCACGCTGTCTTTAGAAGATGAAAAACAAACAAAACAACACACACACAGCTCGTGTTTGATTCCACCACTTGGCCCGGGGCCACTTCTGCCCAAGTGCTCGGTCGTGGTCTTAATGAACCCCTCTGGCTGGCCAGTGGCCTTGATAAGACCTGCAGGGCTGTGTGAACAGAGACAAGGGACGCCGGCATCACACGCGGGCCGGGCTTGAGCGGAAGGGGTGGGAGGGGCTGGGGGAGGGCTGGGGCGACGACTCGGCGGGGCGCGTCCTGGGGTGTGACGGGGGACGGCCGCCCCTCCGCAGACTGTCTCCCAAGCCTCCAGCTCACGTTCTCGGTTGGATGCTGGGGCTGCTCTCAGGAGAGGGAGGCGGAGCGGTTCTAGTTCACAGGAGAGGAAGCTGCGTCTGCCCGCGAGCACAGGGCTCCCGCAAGGAGAGAGGGGCTCTGTCTGGACCGGAACCGAGCGGTGCACCCCCCAGGTCACTGGCCCTGCCACCCTCCCTCCCTCGGAGCCCTCCCTGCGAGCCGGCTGCCGCAGCTCGGGAACACCCGAACCTTCGCGCTCGCGGCGTTTGCTGCTGTCGCTGGGCCAGGGCTGGGCTGACTCCCTGCCTGCTGGCTCAGCCTCCCTCTCTCGGCCTTTGGCTTCATGCGGGTCTCTGGGCTTTGAGGTGTCGGCGCTGTCTCTTGCCCTCTCCCCTCCCAGCCCTTCCGGGGGAGGGTGGACAACATAAGCAGAGAAAAGGGAGCTCTCCTCGGAGTTTCATTGGTTCCCAGTAACATCCACTCAGCTCCTGTGCAGCTCGGAGCCGCAGGTGAAGCACAGCCGGGGGCGGGGGGCTCCGGCAGAGGGTGGGGAGGGGCGTCCACACCGCGGGGAGGATACTGACCTTGCAGCAAAGATGAGCTTGTGGGCTCACTTAGCTCTAAGTCGGATGAGGGACACACAGGAGAGAAAAATGAAAACAAACACGTGTTATATACAGCAGCTATGTATTTGCCATACATAGTTTGTACACCACCTTTCACAAGCACTTCTGGAGGGGTGGGTACGTGAAGGAAGATGCAGAAACCAGCGGTGGGAGGATGAGATGCAGCGTGCGGGATGCTGAGCGCTCGGTGCGAGTGGCGGCACTCGTGGTTGGAAGGCGAGGGAGCTGGTCGCCGGAGCGCGCTCAGCGCGGGAGGACTGACCCTTGGCTGGTGCTGAGTCAGGGTCCTGATATGGTAATCAAGGGCCAAAGTCCCCTTCCAGGCGAGACGTGTGTCACACCCACGACCCACCTTCTCTCACGCTGGGAGACCGAGCTCAGGAATTTCGGATCTCACGGCATCCTGGATGGAGCAGGACACCCCGGAAGCTCTGTGACTCGGATCACAGATCACAGGGCAGGGCTCTCCTGGTCTCCGGCAGTCTCTGCGGTCTTAGGGACCAGGTGCTCAAAACCTAGCGGTTCCTGACGGGAAGGACCACCCCCGCCCCATGTGACTTAAGTACCTCCAGGATACGGACCACCATGGGTCTCCTGGCACCAGCATCCCTCACTTTTCAACATTAGGTCATGTGGCGGCAGCGTGTGGGCAGGGTGGTGGGAGATGATGACAGTTCGGCTGGCTCTGTGGTGCTGCGGGGGAATAACTTCACCACAAAGCTCGCGCATTCGAACGAAGCACAGGCTGCTTTCCGCTCTGCTCCACTCGGCTGGCTGGCTCTGGGTGGAGGGTCTTCCGACACTGGGAGATGACGGTAGGGGGCTCCCGAGCACGTGTGTATCTGTCCTTCCTGATAGCGGGTGGCGTCCGTCGATTAGGAGTTTAGGGGCCGCGATGCCTGGACCAGCCGCAGCGAGAGCCAGCGGGGCGGGAGGCCCGTCTGTGCACTCGGGGGTTTCACTAGCTCGGTGGCACCTGTCACCCAGGCGGCATCGCTGTGACGGCCTCTCGGAAACGCTCTCTCAAAGGAGGCCAAAAGCCTGGTTTCTGTTTGATTAAATTTGGAAAGTTCTCCAAACTCTTCCTCCCTCTCGGGGATTTAGCACCTAAGGGCTCTGAGACCCAGAGAGCGTCCCGGCGTGGACCCCACCCGCCTTCGTCTGACCCAGTCCTTCTGAGCTTCTGTGCAAACCTACTATCACTTTCCAGCACGTGTCTTTGGAGAGCCCTGGGGCCCAGAACGCTGGCAGGAACGGCCCGAGGTGGGTGCTGATAGACCGGGTGGGGGGGTGGAGGTCTGCATGGCCCACGTGGGGCTGCCCAGAGGAGCAGATTTATGACACACGCCTCACTGGCTTGCCTGCCATGAACGCCAGCGATTTCCCTCTGAAAGTTGCTCTGCTCCCTCTTCTCATCATTAGACGGCTCAGGGGACGAGGCCAGGGCATTAGACAGCAGCGATAAAGCCAGCGCGAAGCTGCTTCGTGCATCTGATTCGGAAGAGCAAAGAGGTCAGAGGAGGAGGGAGACGATTTCCAGGCAGGAGGAAGGCGGTGGGTGGAGGTCAGGGAAGCGGGCCAGAGCCTTGGATCTGCAAGGCGAACGGTGGAGGGGGCCGCCCCTTTCTAATCCTGGCTCTCTGCTCTCAGACTGACATCTGCCAAAAAGCCCGAAGTCTTGACAAATGCGAGGGGCAACTGTGACTGTGCCCGCGCGGGAGCCATCAGACAGATCGCTCACTCTGGTCACAGCTCTGCCCGGTCGGATCCACCAGCTCTGGGGTCGAGGGCAGCACTGCCCCCGTCCCAGCCCTGCTGGGTAGAGCCGGGCTTTGTTTCCGTGCTGGGGAAGAGCGGGGCAGAAAGGGACCTGGAAGCAGAGGTGGGGCCGCGGAGCAGCACAGGCGGCCACTCGGGGCAGGCTGGGCCTGGACCCGCCGTGCCACGGCATCCGCGGGGCGGGGTGAGTGCGGGGTGCTCACAGCTCTGGAACGACCGGGAGTCCTCAGAATAAATGGATCTAAGTTGTTGCCAATCACCTGCTCACCTCCTCAGCTTCCCCCCATGCCACTCAAGAGTGCTGGCTGACGTGGGCGGCCAGGGGAACAGATTTGAAAGATTCCCAGCTAACAGATCTCACTGTGACCTTGAGGGATTGGCCCCCGAAGCTGCCAGAGATCAACCCCACGGGCTGAGGGGAGACCCCGCGCCCATCCCGGGATGAAAGCCGTCACAGACGCCGGTGGCGCAGACGGGCGTCCAGACTCACTTGCCGGCAAGTGTTCTACCCACAGAAGTGCCGGCCTTGGGCCCTCCGGGCAGCTTCTCAGTCACTCCCCTCGCGAGTTTCCGCACCAGCACAGCCGCGGGATGTGTCATGGAGGCAGCGCACCTTGCCTCGAACATGCTAGTCCCTCGGTACGTAATGACTGACTGAATGAATGAATGAATGCATGAATGGTGTGTGACTTCTGTCAGGATGGCGGCTCGCGTGGACAGACAGCATCGTAGTCCAGCCCGCTGACACCCCTGGACACAGACGGAGAACCGGGGAAGCGCCCGTTTTCTGTGTGAATTCTCCCTCTCACACGAGTGTTTTTCAGGATCCCAAGGCCCACGAGTCTACTTTTATGACTATAATTCAGTTTCTCTTACGTCCCAGCGGCCAGAAAAGGTCTCAGAAACAGGGACATTTTACACTCATCAGGGATCCAGCACTGAAACAGCACCTGTTTCTGGTCCCTATTAGATCCGGTGGTAACCCCCACGGTCGGTTCAGGACATACTGACGGGGGAAACTGCAGGGTTACCTCAGTGTCCCCAGATAGTTCTCTCCTGTCTCCGGATGTCTCCTCTCAGAATAAAACCCACTATTTTCCACGTGTTCCCCTCTCCCCGCGTCTACGTTCACACATGGACTGGTCCTCCCCCGCCCCCTCCTCTGTCTTCCTCCCTGGCTCCCTCTGCCCAGCTCCTCCCCACTCTCCCCCGGCCCCTCCCCCCGGC